TGTGTGTGTGTGTGTGTGTGTGTGTGTGTGTGTGTGTGTGTGTGTGTGTCTTAAATAAAGATTTTAGACATTTTTACAATAAAATATAAAAACAAATTCGCTTCCGCCTCAGTTCGATTAGCGAATTTGACTCCGAAAAAAAAAAAAAAATAAATAAATAAAATGACTTTAAAAAACTTGTAGTGGCGGGATTATCATTAATAAAAAATGGAAGCAACAAAACAACAAATGGTTATAATACGTGGTTATAATAAGTAAAGTGGTTTTTATTTCCCATGATTTACAAGGTTCGAGTGTTTGCTCGTTCCAGGGTATCGGTATATAGTGCATGTGTGTCAAACTGGCGACCCGCAGACCATATGCGGCCCTTTACATCCATCTTGGCGGCCCTCACAAAGTTTTCTTTAGCCGTGGTATATCGAGAATTTCGTCTATGTTGGTAATGCAAATTATTAAAATTAGTCGCTGACATTCGATATCAAAAAACCATTGAGAAAAATTGTGAAATTTTTTTCTGTTGTGATTTAGACTGTTTATTCTATCCCAATGTTTTTTTGTTTTCGAATGTCAGTGACTATTTTTAACTTCCAGTTAATCATGTGATCATTCTTGACAACTAAATAAGAACAAATGTTAAGTGAAAACGTTCGTAATTTTGTGATATTTTGCTTAAAAAATATCGAATTCTAATCCACCTCTTAAAAAGAGATAATTATCTGAGGAAGGACGTGTGTTTCAAGAAAAGTAGGAATTACAGTAGTTTTGTACCACTGTTAATGGAAAGATAAACTGTTTGATTTGCAACCACTGCATTGCGACGCCAAAAGAATAATGTTTACATTATGAAACAAACCATCGATCTTATGATAAATATGAAGGAGATATGGGTGTTTCAAAAGTGAAGGAATTAAAGGTTAAGTTAACACAGCAACAATGTTGTTTTACAAAACTTCAGAAAGACAACATTAGTTCTGTTACTGCAAGCTTTGAACTCTGCAAAATGATCGCCATCAATGGAAAATTTTACAGTGAAGGAGATTTCATAAAAAGCGATGTCTTGTAAACACAGCTGAAATTGTGTGTCCAGAAAAGTCACACTTATTTCAAGACATTTCATTCAGCAGGGACACTGCTACTGAACGGATTGATGAAATGGCAGGTGATTTGAGTCGACAGTTAAAGAGTTTATCATCAAATTTTGAACATTTTTCTATTGCTCTGGATGACACCGTTGACATAGCTGGAATAGCACAGCTCGCCATTTTCATCAGGGCTTGCGACAAGGAATTTCAAATTTATGAAGAACTAATTGAACTGGTCCCAATGCATGATACTACAACAAGCCGGGACATTTTTGGGAAAGTTGAACAGCATCTCCATGAGTATGGCTTTGATTTGAGTAAAACTTGTATGTTTATCTACTGATGGTGTTACCAATATGGTTGGGAGACATAATGGTGTTGTTGCCAAGTAGGTACAAAAATAGAAAATATATCCAGATTCAACATTCAAGCATTTCCATTGTATAATTCATCAACAGAACTTATGTTCTAAGATTTTAAAATTAGATCATGTGTTTTGTACTAAAAACAATGAACTATATCAGAGGTTGTGCTCTGCATCACCGTCAGTTTAAACAGTTATTGGAAGACATGAATAATCAGTTCACAAATGTCCTATTCTTCACAGAAATTCGGTGGCTTTCATGTCACAAGGTACTGAAAAGATTTTTTTGCGACACGAAATTGTTGTTTTTGGAGATGAAGGGTCAAAGCACAGATGAATTGAAAGATGAAAGCTGGCTCCAAGATCTAGCTTTTTCAGTGGATATTACTACTCAATTAAGTGACCTTAATTTGAAATTAAAAGGTAAAAATAAGCTCATCACTCAGTTATATGATGATATCAAGTCTTTCATTGCAAAATTAGATTTATTGAAGTCCCAGGTGTCACATGAAAACTTGATTCATTTTCCTATGTGCAAGGAGTTGGAAAAAACTGCCAATACTGAATCTGTATTTATCTTTGTTAAGTACAACAATTATCTGGAATTGCTGTCAAAGGAATTTCAGTGGAGATTTTGTGATTTTTCATCTTGTGAAGATCAGTTTGCATTATTCTCAGCACCATTCACTTTTGATGTTGCTCAGGCAGAGGAAAGTCTACAGATGGAATGACTGGGGATGTAGACTGACTCAACACTGAAGGGAAAGTACCTAGAAGTAGAGGTACCCGAATTTTTTCATACCTTCCTCAGACATTTAAGGACTTCAGAAAGCTTCCCATAAAGATTATGGCGATGTTTGGTTCCACATATGACTGTGAGCAGTTTTCGTTTATGAAGGCCACAAAAACGTCTCACAGAACCAGATTAACTGATGCACATTGATCATTTTTTATCAAAGTGGGATCTACACAAACATTCCAACCTGATAGATCGATAATAGTTTGTCTAAAGCGATGTCAATCATCGGGACAGCATAAAAATGATTAAAATTGTACTACCTTGTATTGTAAGTATTTTCTTTTTAAAGTTTAGTTACCACTAGCTGTGATTAATGTAAGACTGTAAGTAGGTGCGGCCCTTGAGGCTGGAGATATGGCTGATGCGGCCCTCCATATGCCCTGAGTTTGACATGGCTAGTATAGTGTATTAGTATATATGGGAGATTGAGAGTTCATTCGCGTACAAGTCCAAAGAGACATCTAGAGAAAATCAACACGCATATGTACTTGAGTTAGATAGACTCGTAAGCGAAAATCACTGCTGTGTAGTAGTCGAGTGAGATATGCGCGTGGGAGAAATACGCGCAAATATTCTTGGGAAAAAAGTATGAATCCACCTCTTCTCCACCACCCAGTTATGGGTTCAATAGCGATACAGACTTGGTTCTACACAGCCTTGATTGGTAACCACTCTACCTCAGAAAGAAACGGCAACATATTGCGTAAAATCTTTTGTCTCGTTAGTCATGAATCGAAAGAGACATGATCGCCCAAATGTGTATCATGCATGGCACTTACTGAGTAGTCGATAGGTAGTCTTTGATGCCGCCGCTAGTTTCGTCGATGGTCAAAGACATCGTTGGGGAAGGAAGCCGAACGAAATTGAGGTATGGGTGTCTCCCATTTGGTTGGGTTATACTATAGAATTGAAGTTCCGACAGGGTACGATAAACTATTTAAAACCCAATATCTGTTTCAGATATTTGTTTCAAACAAAAAAGTAAATTTAAGGATTAATTAATTATCGTTGATGAAGGAAACTTCTTGGTGTTGCTGTTGATGGTCTGTTTAAGTTTGTCTGCTGTGGGATCCGTCGCTAATATCAACCAGTTCGGATCTGCCTTCGACGTGGGTGAAATCGGTGCTGGCTTTGTTTTCATGTAGGGTTGTTAAGTAATTCAGAAAATGGCTGCTGCGAAAATCGCGTGGGCATTTCCTAATTGGTTATGACCCTTTTTAAGTTTTTAATGATATTCTTGAAGTGGGTGCGCGGAGCCGAACGAAATTAAAAAAAGGTATTTTTTTCTCATATGAACTGTGGATGTCTCCCATTTGGGTTACAAAATTTTGTACAACAGGGTACGTTTTAAAAACTCTTTCTGTTCCACTCCAGATATTTGTTTTAAACAAAAAAAAAAAAAAGGAAAAAAAAAAGATTTTTAAGAATTTATTAATTCGATTTTGTAAAAAATATGACTTTTTAAAAAATTTTTGTAAAAAATATGACTTAAATTTGCCCCCCCCCCCCAATACACGTCCTCACTTGTCAACACGTTCAAAATTCAAACAACTGTTATCTTACAACACTGGTCCTACTTTCAAAAATTCCTGCCACAAAAATCCATTAAAAAAAACAAAAACGGAAGGCAGGAAGCCCATCTATTAAAGAACTTTCTGGAAATGTCTTTCAGATCAACACCTTTCCTTAACCAAGTGATTTCTTCATCTTTACTGTATTTTTAACATTAATGACACCAAAAAGGTTATTAATCAGAGAAAAATTTAATTAAAATTAAAAATTTTCAATAATTTTTTGTGGCGCTGGAAAGAGTTGTTTTTTTTTTTGTTATGGCAAAGGAAATAATTCAGAATATTATTTTCATTTTTGATCTTCCCTAAACAGTTGAAACATGAAAAAAAAAAAAATCAAAATGATATTAAACTTTACAGTTTTCTATTTCTATTTATTTTATATCAAGTTTACCAGCAACGACTAAGATCCGAAAATGTTTAAAAGTCGCACTGTAAATGTCAATTTTTCACAAACAAATATTTTTAGTTTATTTCCTGCGGAAACAAAAATAAATAAATAAATTTTTACCTAACTAGCAACAAAAAAAAAAAAAAAAAAAAAATATCATTTATCTTGATTTCGGAGCATATTTTCCACGTGTTCATTGTAAATGTAAAATAAATTATAAATGATAACGCCTTCGGTGATTTTATAAAAAAAATGTAAAATTGAGGAACATTCAATTCACTGAGTGGTACAGAGAGCGTAAGTGGGTGAAAAAAAACTGACGAGAAAAATACTTCCACAAAGTCAAAACTTAAAAAATAAACAAACAAAAAGCTCATTCTTTAATGGATAAATACAAAAAAAATCAATGAAATTTGAGCGTTCTCTGATTTTTGGTATTTTTTTAAAAACAAAGACTATATCGGTTTAATTTTTTTTCACGTGTCAAAAATGCGCTTTTCATTGCAGGTACCTGAATTTTTGTACACAGAACGTCAAGCCTGGAATTAACATAACACATTCATAATGAAAATAACGTCCACAAAAATACCACAAGGAAAACAAAGTTTATGAATCATTAATTAACATTTTAATCATAAAAATATGATATAGCAAAGAAGAGAAACCCTGTTTAAGTGATACTCCATGATTAAGTATTGTTACTATACTATCGGTGTTATGGGATTCAGAACGAGGCTGGTGGCTGGTCCAATCAGATTACAGTACGCGAAATTTGTCGTTTGAATGTTTTAAGCAACAAATGAAAGCGTTTTTAAAGTTGTGATATTTTTGTACGATTATGCAAGGTAAGAGGAAAAAAAAAACATTTTTGGTATTTATTAAATTATATAGTCATCTACAATGGTGATACAACAATGCTATTTTATTTATTTTTTAGTTGTCCGTGTCCGACACAAAAAAAAGAAAGTTCAGTTCAATGGCGCCGGTTTTAAATTTACTTCTTTTTTTCCGACAGTTTTTGTTTTTGACACTTGGTTTTATTTTTACTTATAATTGTAAGTTTTCATTTTGAGTTACAAACCGTTGGTGAATTTAGTCTTTTATTTGTTAGATTATAGAGGGAATCTGTATGTTAGCTATAAATTTCAAACGGAAATAATAACTGAACAATGAAGGTTTTTGTGTCGAGAAAACTCATCACTGGTGAGGTTTCAATATGGCATCATAAAATTAAAAATTTAATTAATTTATACAAATATGTGACTTAAATCTTTTAAGGAATTAAATATTTGATATTAAACAACCGCAACTGCTTAATTGCATTTAAATTTCAACTGCAATTGTATTTAATTTTCAACTGCAATTGCATTTAAAAATATTTTCATAATATTGTAATGTAAAATCAACAATTGTAATTGTATCGTTTAGTTTGAAAAAGTATTTTAATTTTAAGTAAATTATTATTCCTTTTTAATATAAAATAAAAAACATGAACAAATACCGAAATTTTACAATAATTGAATAAAGTTGGTTCTATCGTAATTAAGCTAAAATATCTTTTCCACTTGACTGGAAAAAAAAACATCTCCAACGGTTCTTTTTAGAATTAGAAGTTGTCGGGTAAACAATCGTAAATAAATAATTGGATATTAAAAGATGATAAAATTTAGCATTCCGATTGTCGATCACGAAAATATTTTATTATTTCGACATTCTAGGTACCCAACATCAGGAAGCACATAAAAAAAAAAAGCAATTAGTTTTGAAAATCTCCCTAAATTTATAGAAGTAAATCTTAGCATCTTATCTTTTTTTTTTTTTTTTTTTTTTATGCCATTTGGAAGAAGAAAGATTGGAAAATTATATAAATTTCCCAATCTTTCTAATGTAATCGGAGATAGTTGCTTTTTAAAGTTGTTTACATTGTAAAACAGACTGGATAACTTGAATGAGAGAGATTTTTTTATTAAGAGATAAACACAGATTTTAAAAATTACCAAACCTCTGATAATCTGATTTGAGAATTTTTTGATACGTATTATTAAATTAATAAAATTCATTTATATGAAAAGTTGGAGTACGGAATTCTTTTAATTTCTAGAAATTTCATGAAATTTAAAGTCTTTGGGGGGGTAACATATGTAAAAAAAATAAAATAAAATAAATTACCAAGATTTTCTAAAAAATAATAATAAAAAAAATCATTTTTTTTTTTTTTTTTTTTTTTTTTTGAATAAGTTCTGAAAGTGGAAATAGTGGGTTTATTTTTAAAAGTGTTCTTTTTTGTTGTATCAACAAAAAAAGTATAGGTTTTTTAATTTTTAGTTTTTACACTCTAGAAAGGATTTTTCACTCTTTCCCCAATGAATTTATTTCTTTAAGTTTAATCATTAGATGACGAAAACGTTAGAACATTGTCACCAAAAAAGCAATGCGAATTGAGAAGAAGAGGAGTTGCGGATGAAATGAGGAAGTGAAAACGATGGGGAAGAACTTGAGTTACTTGACTGTTTAAAAAAATAAACGAAAAAACAATCGCCACAAAACTTCGAATCCTGCCTAAAAACCGTTTGTGACAAATCAGCAGGAAAGAATAAAATTTAAGCGAAGAGAGGCTAATTTTCTTTTCTTTTTTTTTTTTTTAAATTAAACATGCATGAAAGCAACAATATTGTAAAAAATAAAGCATTTTTTTATTATGCTCAAATACCAAAATTAAACATCTTTGTTGTTAAATATTTTAAAAAGTTTTAGATCCTTCAATGCCCGGATATCGGAATTAATTAATTAATAGCACCTGTTCTTTTTATTTGGACGCCATTTGATATTAAAATTTTAAAATAGTTAAAATATTTTATGAAGTTAATTATACAATCCAAAATTAAATATAAATTATTATAAATAACGCGGATTCATTGCTAAAAAAAACCCATCATTTTCCTGATTTGGAACCGAGTAGCTAAGAATGACAAAATTCAATTAAATTCGTTTTTTGTAATTTTTCATCTCTTCAAAATAGAAACCTTTTAATTTTGTTTTCTTCAAAATCAAAATTTATTAATTTCCTCTTTTTATTTGTCTTCTGTCTGGAATTGTCTAGGATTTTTAAATTAAAGGTTTTAAATTGAATTATACTTTTCTTTCAATAACTTTTTTGGTTACTTTGTTAATGTTAGTTTTTATATTTTTAAAATTAATTTTTTTAAAAAAGTATCCAACAGTTCGTTGCACATGACAATACAATCTGTCTAAATAAACTTAATTGATCCATCAGATTATTTTATACCAGTTATAAGACATTTTATAACAAAATTTAAAAAGCACAAATAAAATCTAAAGAAAAATAAAGTAAAAAAAACCTAATGATTAATCACAAGAATGTTGTAAATATAACAATTTCAGCATGAAAGCCTCACCCGAGTCCTCTGCATCACTGTTGAGTGTTGAGCCTTCAAAAAGGAAAACAACTATCCTGCTGCTTTTTTTTTTTTTTTTTTTTTTAAGTTTTCCATCTGCTTTCCAACAAAAACGCTTTAAAGTGGGTGCCCTCAAACATACGTGTAGGTGTTTACAAAAAAAAAAAACTCTGTTCTCTCAGCACTTCTATTTGGGACCATTTAGGCATCAGGGATTGACTCCTTTGCAATAGTGAGGGCAGTTTGTGGGGACGATCCATCCATAACGGGACATAAAAACTCTGCATCTTTTCTTTTTGTTTAACAGTGATGCTCACTCTGTACAAGGTCCCAGAGCCACTCTAGGTAGAGGGTTACAGAGTAAAAGGCACACTTTATGGGGAAGTGTGGGAAAGATAATGATTGACCCTAAACTTGAACAGGTTAAGGTCACAGTGATCGGTGAAGCATTTTTTGGTAGTCAGTTCCACAAAGCAGTGTTTCATGGGAAGGAGCTGCTTGAGTGGAATTTACATCTCACTAATGGAATATGATGAGGATGAGGGTGGTTCGCTACAATGTGTATATCATGACAGGTCCTAGCTGAGATGATTAGAATTAGAATGTAGTATGTCTGAACATTTTCCAAAGAAAATTGTGATAGAGAAGCAAGAGGCTTGTGATGTTTTGTCTGTGAAAAAGGAGTTGTAGGGTTGAAAATAATTTGTTGCCAACAAGGATGTGGAAACACTTTTAGAATCTATCGAGACTGGAAAGTGTAAACTGGACAGATTCTGCTCTTGTATATTCTATTTGCAGCCTGATCTGGCACTTGCAAAGATAGAGGATAGCAGGAGGGGGTCAGGTACTTATTGGAATGGTACAGAGAACCAACCATTACTCCAGCATCTTTAGTGATGGATTGTATATATGAGTTTCACTTGAGGTTTGGGTTGAATTTAAGTCCCAATAAGTGCTCAAGGCATGAGGCCTCCTTGTGGAAACACCTATTAAATCACGATCGGTGAAAATTATGTGTATGCTTGGAGATGATAAAGCATCAATATGAAATCTAATACAAAAGTTATCAACTTTATTTGGATTTATTCTTGAAATTGTAAAATTTTAAAATCAATTTCTAAGCAGAAACCTGCAGAAATATTTCTGTACTTTTTTTCTGATAATATTTCAAACTTATTGTTGAAAAATTGGTAAAAACTATGAATTTAATTTTTGGTGTCAGTACTTATCATATCAAACCCAAGCTTTTGCATTGAGTGCAATGTTGATTTTCTAAAGAAAGTGAAAAATCAACCTGTTCTAATGCAGCAAGTGTCCAACAACTCTGATCCCTGTGATAGATATGGTTGTAGTGGTTATGGTGAGTGAAGGCTGAATCATATTCAGGGCTGAACCAGGACTGGCTGTTCATTTTCTTCTGGGGTATATAATTCTTCATTCTAGAAAGGATTCATTGAAAGATGAGGGTAGCAGTTTTGAAGTTAATATGTTTGAAGAAAGCTGAAAGAGAAGCTTCCACCATGTAAGATCTGAAGCTGTCTCAGTTGGGTTTCATGTCACAACAAAATGATTCTATGGAACAGCACATGAGGGAATGCCTTTGGTTTGGCATCAAATTTGACACTGACTAGTGAATGATCTGAAGTGTCTGAGAGCAGGGAGTAAAACTTCAGTGACACATTTTTCAGGGCAGTATGTGAGGAAGAGGTCAAAGAAGTTCACCTGATGCCCTGTTGAATATGGGTGGATTTTGTAGTTTCTGCAGTATCTGCTGCCTTCATCAGTTTTGTTTGAGTGCCTAACCACTCTTTGTGGTAAATACTGAAATCTCCACAAATATGAAAGTTAAGTGATATTCAGTGTAGATATTGTTAATCATCTCAGATATTCATTCAAACAGTTTGGTCACCCTGAGGACAATATAGAGTGAAAATGAAAGTTGTAGTCTGGCTAAGTGCCATGTGGAAGCACATATGTGGGAGATTGGGGTCCTCATTTTTTGATCTCTGCCATATAGAAACTCATCCTTTGTCTATGGCGGTTGTCATGTTTAGTTATTAGGGGTGAGTAACCTGGGGTTGCAAGTTCCTGCACTGGAAGAGAGGTATCAATACCAGTTTCAGACAAGAATAAAAGATGAAATTCAATCATCTATTTTCAGAGGGAGAGCATAATGCCAGAAATGTTGATATTTTTATGCACAAAACTTTAATTTTTCACTATTAGTGTCATTTGTCTTTATTAGATGAAGCATTGTCAGTCAATAATTTTAACTAGTATTTAATGAATAATTAGTTACTTTTTATCACAATTTTGTTTGATGAGTTACTGCGATGATGCTTTAACAATTCATTACTTATGTTTACTTCCTTGGCTAAAGGGTTCATGATGTTTTGGACCATTTCTTTACTTTGATTCAGTCTTTCTTATCAAACCATATAATGAATGTTGAGTGATCACTCCTCTAGATTTTGCATTAATGTGAATGTTCCCCAGGACACTATTCTTAGAACTATTTTTATCATCAGTTTCTGACTTGATATCTATGCTAGTAATATAACTATAAGTCTTAGGTTTAATAAAATCAAAATGGCTGCTGGTCTTGAAAATGGCCTACAATGTTGTTAGATGGGGGCAAAAAGTGGTTTATTAATTTTAATGTCTCCAAAACGAAACTGGTCACTATTAATTATCTCAAAGAACATTTTTTTAACTTCCAACAGTTTGGCAGATGCTAACCTCCAAGAGTACAACTCACTTTGCCTTCTTGGTTTTACATTTTCAACTAACATGAAGTGGAATGACAATATTGAATCAGTTGCTTGATCTGCTGCTAGGAATATCATTTGTCTATGTCATAGTAGACAGTATTACTTGCCAAAATCTATCTTGCACATTTATAAGACCCCCATTCATCTCTGTATTGAATATTGCTTGATAGAGTCCAAAAGCATGTCTGTGTCCTTGTGGGTGATGAATTATTTTCCACCCTGCAACCCTATCTTGAAGACAACATAACAAGCCTCTCACTGTTCTATTGCTATTTCCATGGAAAGTGTTCAGATGAATTACACTCTTTAGTTCCACAAGTTCTAACCTTTCATGGCTAAGACCTACCATGCCACACCCATTGTAGTAAACCACCCTCATTCCCTTTGTAGTATATTGGTGAGATGTAAATTCCACTTAAGCAGTTTCTTCCTATGATGAACTGTAACATTGTGGAACTGACTCCCAAGAGGATACTTCCCCAATCACTACAATTTTAACCTGTTCATGTCTAGGGTCAAACGCTATCTTCCCCACATATCCCCATAAACTGTGACTCTTGCTCTGTAATCCTCTACCTAGAGTAGCTTTTGGGCCTTTTATAAGGTGAACATCATTGTGTAAAAAAAAAAGCACTTCATGCCAAACTTGAAACAATCAAGCAACTATGGCTTGTGTACCAGAGATTTGTCCCTAGGCAGCACTTTTTTCCCTGGAGTTGAACAAGGGACATTGATATTTTTTTGTAAAAGTCTGCTATTGCATTTTGTATTAAGTGAGAATGTAGAATTTGAAAAGAATGCTTGAGGTATGATGGGTCACCTCAGTCATCATTCTCCTGCCTCAAACTATTAAAAACTTGTGATTGAAGAGAAAAATAAAAATAAAATTTACTACCCAGTACTAGGAATGAACTTACAACTTTTAGTCAACCAGCTTGTCTTAAATAATTTGTGAAGCATGGCTGTTAATCATTATTCAAAGTTTGCCATATTGTAGTTGCCAGTTTCAAAAGCATACAATTTACAGTTGCTTTTCAAAAATTATAATACATCAACTAATTATATAAATATATCAAGCGCTCTTTCTTGACATGATGGACACTCTGAAAGTAATGCCTCCTCTTAGTTTCCATGGAAACTACAACAGATACAAGGAACACAATGACATTGTTGGATGGAGCTAGTTTTCAGCTCCCAAATATTTTTTAGAGTAAACACCACTGGCTATGCATTTATTGCAGTGATGAACAAGAGTCTGCATTCTGTACTTGCTGTTGCCACTGCTTAACTGTGTTCATGTCCAGTGTTTGGTCTTTGTAAACATCCAGCAAACATCAATGAATGTCAATGGATGCAATTTTTTCTGCATTCAAGTACACACTTCTTTCATACATAATTTATGTCAGATGTAGTTTTGTCAGATTGCCTCTATTACTATCTTTAGTAAGGCAAAAAAAATTTTTCATATTGACAGGAAAGATTAATCTCTACTGTCAATGCCACCACCATCTGCTTGAGATGATATGGGCCAACATTATAAGAAGCATTACTTTTAAAGTGACCCTGTATAATGTGTTGACTAACAAACTTCAAAACTTTGAACAGGTTCACATTTTTGAGTAGAAATTGACATGTTTTATTTAAATTGTAACTGCAAGAGACCTTTTTTAGTAGTTGGCAAGTATCAAGTGATGTTAGATCAGATTTATAGCTATAATACTAATTATTTTGGTTGCAACTTGACTGTTAGATGTTTAACCTGTTTAACATGCAAACCTGATAAAGTCAGATACAAGATCAGTCTCTCCAATGTTTTGTAATAACATCCTGTTTCTAAAACTGGGCTATATTACCTTTTTTTGTGTCCTTCCCTTAAATATCAAGTGTATATACAGATAATTACAATAAATCAGAAATTAATTTATTCTCATGATTTTTTTTTTTTTTGGTAATGTTCCATTATAAGAAAAGTTGTTTTCAGCACCTGTTTGCATTGGGATTGTCAGTCTTTTCCTCTATTCCCTTTCTCTCCACTGGTGGTGGTGGCAGGAGCAGATATGGCTGTGAATCAAAGAGAGTTTGATGAGGTCATTCATGTGAATTTGATTTTGGTGGACAACTGTACAACAGAGAAGCCCACACACTTTGTCAGAAGTGCCTCCTGCACTACTCAAAAGGGGTTGAGACGGGTGATATTGGACTGTCAGACGCTGGATCTGTCAAGGTCTGACTTGGTTGCACCAACCCGACTGGCACTGCCCTCTTCCATCAGCTGTTGAGATCATGTAGATTTTTGCCTATTCCACCTTTGGGGTCTTTGGGGATTGGAAGTGTTCAGTCTGGTCCTTCCTCTTCGACCCTGCTGCCATGGGCATCCCTACAGGAGTTGAAACTTCAGATGCTCTTGCAATCACTGAAACAAGTAAGCTTTCTACCATGACAAAGAATGACTGATGTTGGAGTGAACAATTTGTTATCAAATGTACCACTTTGTCTTATTACTTGTACTACTGTTGACCAAGGTATTTCTAGAAAATAATAAATAATCTTTATAATTAAAGTTCTCAATCAAAAGATAAAGTATTAATAATAACAAATGAAAATAAATGTTCACTTATCAATTCCTACTTTGACTTTCACAGAAACTGCATTCACTTGTCAAGTGGTTTGATGGTAAAATAAGACGGTAAATGAATAATATAAATTATATTTGTGAAAATAAAGATATTACTTGAAATAAATGGGGAATTTATTTTGAAGAATAAAATAGTTGAGTCAGTCATATTGTATGAAGAAAAAATTTAATGAGTAACAGAATTATATTTTAACCTTTATCACTCTGTATGTGACTTCATTTACTGTACAAAAAATTTATCTTGCCACTGAAGGTGACTCTGATCCCTGAACAATAGTGTTTGAATTTCATAGTTGTGTTGTCATATCCTGCTATAGCAACAGAAAACAACTTTCAGGGAAATTAGCAATAAGGATGTTGTAATTAAGAGGCCTTGAAAAAGAATGCCATGCCTTTTCTGGATATCTCAGTTTGGCTCAGTGGATAAAGGCATTGGTTGAAGTAAACCAGTGACTTGATCCAAAGAGGTGTGAGTTCAATACCTGGCCACAGCAGAGAGAGAGTGTTTAGTTACTAAAGGGAAATAACTGAAACTGAAAAGGCATTGCATATGGAATTAGAACAATCTACCCATGTGGACAAAATAAAGGGTCCAGTTTGAAATTCCAACGAATATCACCTGAAGAAGGCCGGAGCGTACAATGACCGAAACATTGTGAACATGACAATAAAGATGAGAACAACAGTTTGAACAATGTAAATGAAAACATTAATCTGACTAAATAATATATGATTTTATTTATTGTGTTTTTTACTTTTAATTTATACTTCTATTTGCAGGATGATGTCATTTGGATTATTTCATGAAGAGGAGGATAGCTTGAAAGATTTATCCATTGAATTAACATGTAAGTAAAACATGGAACTTGGTATATGCTTTTTTTTTTTTTTTTTTTTTTTTTTTTTTTTTTTTCCAATTATATTTTTACCAGTGATTCTCAAAATTTACTGTTGTGGATTCTTTAATGTAGTTAAAAAGGTGTTTAAACTCCCGAAGAGTTTTGTGTTGAATAAATCATTATAGTTAAACCATTACAAGTTTAAAAAAAAAACAAAAAACATTAATTTTGAAAAATATCTCCATTTTCAAAGGAGAAGATTAGTGGGATAAATGACAAGGTTTTTTTTTTTTTTAAACAATTTCTTTGACTTTTGGTTTAAAAGTAAACAGCTGGATTCACATGGTATACTGCAATAATTAAGATAATACAATATATTACTGTAATAAGAATTTAAAATAGGTAACTCTACTTTTTTTCTGAAAAAACAGCAGAGCATGATGAAAAATGGCCCCAAACTTAATAAAAACAAAAATTTTTATCATTGAAATGTTTCTTATTAAGAGAAAAGATCATATTATTTTTTATTAAATTTTTTAATCTTGGTGAAAATATATATATATATATATATATATATATATATATATATATATATATATTTTTTTTATTTGTTTGTTACCTCCCACTTAGTTTAATGAAATTTTGAGAAATTAAATTTTCATTTAAAAATTTATTTTTATTAGTTAAAAGCAGGATTCCTTGGAGAATGTAAACCATCATCATTTTTTTTTTTTTTTCAAACTACTATTCATTTCCTGAAAATCTGCTAAAGCTATGGCATTATTTAATTAGGAAACCTTTTAATTTCTTTTATAAATAAGATTTAGTAAGGACATTATTGTTTTAAGAAAACAATTTTTTCTAATGAATAATAAATTTTCACATTTGTTTTAATTTTTTTTAAATTTTAATTATAATAATTTATAATATATAAATCTTATAAATTCTGCATTATTTTCATCCAGTTAGGTGATATTGTTATTAAGTGAAAGCTATAAGCTTAATACAAATCATTTTGTACCAAGATTTTTAAAATAACTTTTTTTTTTTTTTATGTATATAAAATATTGTAACATACCCATTTTTGAAAGTATGGTCAAGTATACAAGACATTATCAGAAAATAAGAGCAATGACTATAGTAAATTTAAAGTCAACATTCCTAGATTATAGAGAATATTTTTCAACATTTTTATGATTCCTGACTACTTAAAAATTTATATAAAAAAGGGGCTCACCTGTCATTTTCTTAAATTATGTTTTAACAGATAAAGGCTCTGTAGAACAACAATAAAACTGTCAACACTTTATTTGCACTTGTCACCGCTTGTTAATTATGTAAGAATGGCTGCTGTCGGTTAAAAATCACTGCTAATGTTGGTTTTGCAAATCCATTTCTCTGTTATTTTAAACTTAAAGTAAATAATTTTTTTTTTTCAAATCAGATATTATACTTTAAATCAGCTAATATTCCTCAAATAATGTTTCAGAAAAGAATATTTTATTTTTGGAAGATTTTTTAATAGAGTATGACATTGGGATGAAAGACAACTAAAAAAGGGTGCTAATCAACTATTTTAGAAAAAGAAAAATCTACTCCAATCAATATAATTTCTGTTCGAAATACACCAGAGTATTTTGTTTACTGGAAATAGTAAATTTAATCCTTTATCTTTCAATTAAAGTTAAAATAAAACCTTCAAGAAAGCTTTTTCATTGATAAAAATTTATTTTAGACCAAGGTATCAAAAATTAGAGGTGGTACCTAGCTTAAAATACTTTTTCATTAAGATTTTATTTACTATAATGCTGCAACAAAAATAATTAATTTCTCGAAAATTCATGTTTTTTTTTTTTCAAAATTATTTTTTCACCTTCTTTTTCAAAATGATTTTCCTTTAGTGAACCCCTTACATGTCTCTTACATAATCTGAGGGCCAAACTGAGAACAGCAGATTTATTCTGTAATATACAAAGGGCTGGAACTTGGTCTATAGTTAATGGTCAAAATCTGTAGATCCACTCTCAACTCATCTGTGTGGCTCACCTTTCATTCAGTTTTTTGATCACGCATTACTTACGCAAATTAAATTGCAAATGGTGGCTATGACCGACCAGGCAAGACATTGTGGCCTCTTAACCACAGGTAGGTTAGAATTTCTTGGTCCTATTTCACCACACAGTCCAGAGGAGATAATCTATTTCAGAGAAAACATGGTGACAGACTTATGGAAAAAAAAAAAAAAAGAAGATATATGCAAAAATGTAGAAGTCTTTTTATTGCAGACTGTTTATGTAGCCTGTGATATCATAAGATGGATCTATTAGCTAAATATGTTAAGTCACTCACATAAATGATTATGTTTATAGTCACAACAAATTCTGCCTAAAGAGATTGAAAAAAAAAAAAAAATGAATCAGTAATCATTGTCATATTTTAACATTAGCTCTATTTGAACTTTCTTTTTCTCTCTCTCATATATATATATATATATATATATATATATATGATCAACCTTATAGGTGAGCGATTATGTAGAGGTCAGCAAATAACTTTTTGTTTAATCAATGGTGTAGACAAAACAAGAAAAGTGCTCAATGCAGTTAAACAGAGCTATAAATCATATTATTAATAATTACACATAGGATATATGTGTAATTTTATATATATATAGGCAAGTTTTACTGCTGCTCCACCATTTCCCATTTATACTTTAGCCATTGTTGGCCAAAACAAATATAACAATAAAAAAAGAAAAACATTTTGATTAAGCACTGACTTTTAGAGGAGAAACCTTGGGTAACTTGATAGATGAACAAAGGTAATGTCTGTTCCATTAATGCTCACCATGAAATACGGTATTATAGGTTTCTAAAAGGGGGAAATATAAATTTATAAAAAATTTAGTATTATAAGTCTGTACTTAAAAGCCATTAATGCTCATCTTCTCATAATAATTTTGCTGGTAGGATGGGAAGTCTAACAACTGCAATGTGAGATTTGTTAATGAGCAGAACACAGAGTTCCTTTTAGTGTGACTCTCATTCTTGTCTCACTGACAGACATCATTATTTCCAGTCATTACTGAACAAGTGAGAATGCTGATAAAAAAACAAAACAAATTATGACTAAGGCAACAATGATGCCTTATACACACACACACACACACACACACAAAGTTATTGACATTATTTGTCAGGATGATGTCAGCCATTTTTGTGCTACATCTATGGACAGCACTGTTTGAAATTTAATATTTTTAGTTTGATATATGAGGGGTTTGTGAAAAGTTCTCAGGGCACTCAAAGAAGGGAAAGTGCATGCTGCTCTACATATTTGCCAAGCAGTTCAACACACTTGACACATCAGTTCTCAAGTTTCTATAACCCTTTCAAAAAATTCTAATGTTTACTTATTTGAAATACTGCTTTGGGAAGTGTGTGGCGCCAGGAACTTTTCAGCACCCTTTTGTATATTATTTTCTCTGTCCCATGGCCCATAATGGTTGTTACATTTAATATATGAAATCTGGATACAAATGTAGGAACTATTATGGGATACAGTATTTCTTTTTTCAATTTCACATGCAATAAATGATATTTCCCCTTTTTTGAAGAAGTGTGATTTTAGCAGTGACCTCCCCCCCATGTGTTTGCTATTGAACTGTTAGTTAAAGAAATTGTTTGAATGTACAGTTTATTTAATAAATTTTATTCAAATATTAACTTTCTTCAAATATTTTATTATTTTTCCTGTTACTGTTTATCCTTTTTTTATATATAAAAAAAATCTAGATATGTTCCTTTTGTGTGTAGAAACACACAATCTTATATTATTGGGTGGTGTTGAAAATTTCTTAGCCTTTCCAAAGCTATATAAATCAAATGTTCATTTACATTTTAGGAAATGGAATAAGCTGAGAACTTTTCAGCATTTACTTGTTAATCAGTGTTTTTACATTTTATGTTTGTCAGTTTCATAGATATGACTATTTTTGGAGGTCAGCATTATTTGTACAACTGTAAAACCTATTTTTTTTTCAGAGAATAGTACTACTGGTATAAATAGATAAAGCTTGTAATGTCTTAAAATTTTCAGATATTTGGGTAAAATTACGAGGTGTTTAAAAAAGAAATAGAAAAATTGCCTGATGTTTACTTCTCTTGATTATTTTAGAGTGTCCCTCTTTCCAACATAAGGAATTGGGGGAAATGAAAATTATATGATTGAAGTTTCCTCAGAATGTCTTCCAAATCTTCACTTTCCTCCCATGGTAAGTTGTTGAAATGATGCTTTTGAGGAGAAATAATTGTTAAAAATAAAATTCATGTTCCTACTCATCCATTTTTAACTTTGGTTACCTAAAACAAAACAACTTTCTTTTCTGTCTTGTTTCAGAATGTTCGTTACATTTTGTTTTTCCATTGAAGAGTAAAGTTTCAATTTTACAAATATTTGCTGTTTACATAAAGAAACATGTCTCTTTCTGTTTGAGATTGATTTTTGAAAACAAGACTGGAATTGTTTGTGATAGTGCCTGGAGTTGTTAAACTATTCAAGAACTAATCAAGTTGAATGTTTCAGTGATAATTTTGGAATGGGCTCACAAAATAGATGAAAAGAAGACATTTATAGTTCATGAGTCTATTGAATGATTTTCAGCTTAATTATGAGAAAGAATAAAACAAAACTTTTCACATTTCTAATTAAAAAAAATAGGGCTTTAGATCTAGAAATCCCAGATTTCTAGATCTGTTTTTATTCTGGCAGTTACACAATGAATAAAATTCACTAGACCAGTGATTCTCATCATGGGTGTGATAAATTTTTAAAATGTGTCTGGAAAGGGAAGGATTAATTGGAATGCTGAAAATAAAATCATCCCATCCTTTGCTCATTGAAAATGTGGTTCCATTCTTGGTTTTCTCAACACCTGGATGGTTAAGGTGGGATGATGTATCACAAAGAAATGTAATGTATTACAAATTGAAAAGAAAAGAAACTTATGC